TTTTTACACCATATATTAATACACAAAAACAATCAAATACTATTAACCCCATTATCAATCTTCACCCCCAAAAAAAAAAAAAAAATTAAAAATCAGATAACATTTATTTGCTTTACAGTTTTACTTGGTAACAATTTTAATTAAAAATTTTAAAATATTATTTTTATTTTTTTGAATGACAATGAATCGATCGCAAAAATCAAGGGTAACCTCTAGACACCATAATTATACTATACTCACTCCACAGCTCTTTTTCATGGTGAATTATTCTCATTCTTCTTCTTTTTTTTTTTTTTTTTTTTTTTTAAAGTAAAATAGGAAAGGGAAAATCCAATGCTAGTAACTTCTCATTGAAATTCTTCTGGTATGTGGAATTCTTTCTTGGTCTCTAAGCATCATGCACTCTCGGAGAAATATCATGCGGACTCTTATAAATGGTATGTCATGTTAAAGAGTAATAATGGACCAATTTTTTTGTACATGAGTAAGTCAATTTATTTATTTATTTATTTTTTTTAACAAAAGATAAACAAGTATCAATGAAGTATCTAACTTCTTCCTTAATATCCCGAATAAGTGTACCAAAGTAGTAATATGAAGTTTGGACCATCACTTCCTTAGTTTGTTGAATATTTTGGGCATGCATGTCAACGGTGACAAGCTCTAGCAAAGTCACGTGAAACAAGGATATGGAAGGCTGTTTAAGACCCATTTGAGCATAGATAACACAGAGCAGGGCTTTGGACATGTTAGTGCATGGGCGAATCATATCATTCAAAATGACGAGTGTGGGAAACATAATTATCAAGGTTGAAAAAATCGTTAAGCGCCCAGTTTTTTTCTTTTAAATTTAAAAAAAATTAAAATTATTTAAAATCTCGCCTAGGCTGCCTAGTCCAAGGCGACCTATTCGGCGCTTAGGCGGCCGACTGCCTAGAACGGCGATTCCGTCGAATTTCTAGGCGGCCGGGTGCCGATTAATCGGCGCCTAGGCGCGATTTTTGCAACCCTGGTAATTATTATATATGAAGATTATGAATTCAATTTTCGTTATTACTTTTTCAATCGAGCATGTGCACTGTCTTGGTCGTGTCTGTCGCACACAGTCTTTTTAGTGTGATTTACTATCAGGTGTAATTTGTGATGAGTTATTACTAGGAGCGAAATTAACATACTACACATTCTCATGTAATAGTTAGTGTAATTAAACATCACTTTTGTTCATCTTAATTAATCAATAATTTCTCACCATTTTTTTAGACAATATTCAAGAAATTTGTTTTATATTAAAATATTTTATATACAATTTGACAATAATTGAACTCTAACCTAACCAAAATTTAAAGTAATTATCAAATATTGAATATTAGGGTATATATTAAACAAATTGGTAATTATGAGATATTTTCATTAAAATATATCAATAATTAAAAGCACCAAACATATATTAACATGTAGCATAAAAGTGGATATTTTATTATAATAATATATTATTAACCAATTGTGAAACACAACTCATTAAGATTTGATTAGTAAAGATGAGGGGCCCTTGCTTAGCTTGATAGATACTTAGAAAGACTTCTTTTTATTTATTTATTTACTTTTTTATATACTATTTGTTGTCTGTGCAACCAGATATATATCCTTCAAGTAAAGTAAAAAAAGGAATTGAAAAAAAAAAACAATAAAAATCATTTTCAACCAATTGTAAAAAGTAATTTTAATTTACAAAAGGAAAATACGTAATTACCATCAAGAATGTGTATTGAGTAAATCTCATATATGTAATAATTTGTTCTAGTACATGAATTACATTTCACCCACTCTATCACCTATTTCAGGACACATTTATAAATTAACTGTATCTCATGTAGATAATTCAGAATGCACACTATTATAAGCATGGATAAGTATGACTTTGTCGTTTGGCAAGCAGATATTTAGCAGTAATAATTAGTATAAAATTAATAGACGGACCAACATTGTTATAAAGTGAAATCAGATTTCTCATTGTCTTTATCACTAGGTTTTATCCATGCCAATGTAGCATTTATTATGATTTGGCCTTATATCCTTGTCCAAAGTGAATCTTTTTCTCCCAATCCCCAAGGGTCCCCACACTCTGATTGGACAGATTATTTTGGTGGATATAAATCACATTAACTCAATAGCTAAATGTCGTTAAATTGGGTATAATCCCACATTGTACTGTCGCCGCGGAAGTTCAAACCTTGATCTTTTCTCCCAAATACTAGTTACTAAACCATTGAGCTAAGCATGTGCGGACTATCCAACGTGAATCTCACACATAGGGGTGGGTGTACAACATTATATATATATATATATATATATATATATATATATATATATATATATATATAGGGTCAGGTTCCCGTGAGGTCAGGTCTTCCCGTGCGATCAGTGCGGCATACACCATTAGGTATGCATAAATGCACCACACAGTGTTTGTAAATACACCGTTATGTGTGGTGTATTTTTTTTTTTTGTGTGGTGTATTTTTTGACATTTCATTCTGGTATATTTTCGAACACTATATGGTGCATTTATACATACCTAATGGTGTATGCCGCACTGACCGCACGAGAAGACCTGACCTCATTGGAACCAAAATCTATATATATATATATATATATATATATATATATATATAATCCCCAATGATAAGTGTAGATATCATTTAGGTTGATTACTGACTGAAAAATGAAGAAAAATATGATGATATTTTTATAATTATTACAATTTATTGAGAAACACTTGATAGTTTATATGTGGATAATTAATAGTACACACACTTGAATGCACTATTATAAATCATTAGTTTACTATTGGTAATTTGCGAATGTGCATCAAATAGATCGTAATAATTACGAAAATTTCACTGCATTTTTGTCTTAATTTTCAATGGTTTATCAATGATTGAGAATTTTAGTAAACAAAATACGGGGTCAATATTACAAAATTGACTTCTCCCATTTTATCTTTATCTTTCAACAACCCTCAATCGTTGATCTATTTAAACAGCTAGATTAATCAATCATCACTTTTTTACTTATGAATTTGTTCTTAATTGAAGCCTCATATATATATATATATATATATATATATATATATATATATATATATATATTAGCTTGGTTTTAACTAAGATGGCCCAATACAAGCCTATTGGGATGTATGTGTGAATCATCAACCTTCTGCTCCATTGGCAAACTACAACTTGGGCTAAGCTAGTAGTCTTCCAAAATATAATGCAAATTAATTATCAACCCAACCCATACATATATAGGCCTTTTATATCTTGGTCAGTCGGTCCAAATATGTGAGGAAGTCAAATTTAAATTATGTGCATGCATGACTATCTCGTGATGGGTATAGCCAAATTGAACCTAGCTAGTTTACAACACCCCCCCCCCCCCCCCCCCCCCCCTCCAAAAAAAAAAAAAAGTCACAGAATTAGATACTAAAGGAAAAATTGAAAAACTACAAGTAGTACTGAAAGCATGTGTAAACACGAGGAAATTAAGTTAAAAGCCCCTTTGCTCCCCCAACTTGCACCCCAACTTGCCATGAAATTCACCTGCCCATCGAATATACAAACTCATATAGAATAATACGTACTGCCATGGAAAATGAAAGCCCCCACACCCAAAAGGAAACTAAAAAGTAAAAACAACTCCAACTTGCTCTTTATCTTTTTTTTTTTTTTTTTTTTAGCGACGTGAGAAGTTCGCATCCATAACTCAATAGTACGTATTGGATAAATCAAGATTTTGTATAAAAATTCATAAACCATACAAAATAAGTAAATTGCATTAAGAATACATACCATGTACGACGTATGACATCTATTATTGTTATTATTGTGAGACTAATTCAGATTCAATTTCAATTGTCACATAGTTTAACTTTGATTTGAGAAAACTTTGACCCATAACTATTTAGCATGGCAATGCTTAATTGACTCATTTTTATTTTTTATTTGAGTAGTAACTAGTAAGTGAATTATATTTTTAAAATTTATGATATAATTTTATTATCATGTCGAGGAATAAATATTAGAAGTTAAGTTTAGAAAATAATTAAAAATAACAATATTTTTGGACAAATTCGCCCATTTGGCTTCAATTTGGAACCGACACGTTCAACTTGTACAAATGTATATATTATTATTATGATCATAAAAGGGTTAATATTTTTTACTACAATACACTAATACAATAATCCTACTACCAATTAAATTAAGCTATTTAATTATAACACTTACCCCAACTATTTATAACACTAATAATATTGGACGAATGCGTGAACACCAATGCAATGGCGTCGGTTACGCAGTTATGATCATTACGCACATTATCATCATAATATAAATCTTTTTTTTTTTTTTTAATATTGGAGCGTAGAATTGATTAACTATGGACAATATATATTGATTTTATCTTCTTTTGATACTTTGTCAGTTAGGATGACAAAAGGTATTTTTACTTAGAACACAACTAAATCAAAATATTGTACCTTACAATATGGAATATTTAATTAAATTTTGACTATAAAGCTGTAAAATTTATGTAAAATGATGTAGTATGGGGTAACTTCAACCAAGTTAATAATGTTACTACATATTAGTTTGGTAACTAAGGTTCAAAGTTAGTTCTGGAACGATTTATTGGTCTTATTGGTTTGAGTCAATTAGTTATATAACGTAACCAACCAATGTTGGTCTACCTTTTTGTGATAATTCTTAGTTTGAGTTGATCAATTATATGTAACTTAGACTATTTTATCATTTGTCGACTAAAGTTACAAGATGATATTTACGATGTGCCCACTATTGAATAGTTCCTATATGTTCCTTTGTAACCAAAATATAAAAATAAAGACATTAATATTAATTTACATCTAGCGATTTACAACGCTAATTGTTCATCAGTTCTTGCCGTTCAAGATCTAGTTTAGTACCTATGCTAATAGCAAAGGAATTTAGAACAAAAAGTCAGTGGATCATCGTCAAGATCAAAAATCGAAACGGAAAAGTAGTTAAAATGAAACCATGTTTACATTGTTCATATGATTTACTTATGTATTAATTACAAGAAGATTTGACGATGTTTAGATTCTGGCCGGAGTTCTCCGCGATATGCGCTAACGACTGGAGGTTGCACCGCACGATGGTGTCAACGAAGACGCAGGTCTCTTCCTTAGTATTCCCCGGCGGGACGTCAACGACGAAGGATTCCACGACGATCGTCTTGTCGGGAGAGGCGGCGGCGTGGTGGAGAGTGGTGACGGAGCGGTAGTTGTGGAGGCGGTGGTCGCCGCCGACGACGCTGAAGCTGAACACGTGTCGCTCGTCGTCGAGGATATCGAGGCGCTCGGTGCTGGAGACGGCCGGGACGCCGGACACGACGCGCACCTCGCGGAGCGTGCCGACGCTGCTGCCGTCGCCGACGACGACGTGGCAGCTCTTGAGGAAATGCTTGTAGGCCTGCGGGTTGTCGAAGCGGCGGACGAGGGCCCACACGGCGTCGAGCGGGGCGGAGACCTCCTGCACCACGGCGGAGCAGCACTGGTTGGGCCCCACCGCGTGGATGTGGTACTGCAGCAAGCTGTCTGGGAGCAGCACCGTCCACGTCGGCAGCGGCTGCTTGTGGATGCTCGCCGCCGCCGCCGCCGCCGTGACAGCGGCGGAGAGGTGGTGGTGCGAATCGGCTATATGGCAGTGAACTGTAGTAGGCATTTGCTTGTACTTTGAGATACAAGAGAATAAAATATGGCGATTACATATAAACTCATACACAATATATATAGAGAGAGAAAGGGAGATAATTAGGAATATTACAGGAGAGAGAGAGAGATGAGAGGTTAGCGCAAAAGCTTACGCCGGGAGACTGCAAGTTGATGATCAACTTGCAAAAAAACTTATTTGGACAACATGTGAATGACATTTACGGATTTACCCCTAACTTTTCACTATAATTACGTGATCTCACTTTAATTTGGTCACTTTTTACTACAACATTGAACATTCGGTGTTACGTTATCCGAGGTTTTTCTTTGCCTGTTCGGATAACGAATCAAGGGCCCCGTTGGAAAAATTCTTATTTTGAATTTTGAAAAGGAAAAATGTTGTTTTTCCTCATGAATTTTCCCTCGTATCAATCTTTCATTCATTTGATTCCATCACTAAATAAAAAGAAATTTAGTAATTCAATGAGATAATATCATGTCAGGAGGGGGAATGAAATATAGAAGGGGTGTAGTATTACTTTAAAAATATATGGAATTTTTCTTCTTATTGTTATTATTATTATTTTTTGAAAACAAGTCAAATGCTATGTTGGAAGGGTAAGGTAAAGCATGTGAATGATTGTTTAATTGGTCTTTCGTTAAGTTAAATGTGGATGGAAATGTTAAAGGACGGTCAAGTCTGATTATTTTAAGTGAAATACTCATTACAATGAGTAGGGTCGGTGAATGATTTCAAGGATTCACTTATAACGTGGGGATTGCTTTTAATTTAACATTCGGATTTTGAAATATTCATCGTGAATATAATTAGCGTTGTTTTAGGAATATAATCCGATTTAATTTCAAAATAGTATAATTAGCTAGAAAATGATTATATAGATCAGATGATATACTGTTCACCACATCACACAAGGAGTGCTAATCACCATCAATTGTAAAGGCACCAAAGATATCTTAGATTATTGAAACTGGATCTATTCCGTCAAGCATATTTAACGGGAAACAAAATTTTGTGTCAACTGAATGGCTACTAATGACACGTACTCCCCACAAGTAGGCATGACCACGATTCCGGTTCTGGTTCGGAACCGCCGGTTCCGGTTCCGAAAATGGTCGAACCGGAACCGGAACCTTAATATAAGGTTCCGGTTCCGGTTCTTGAACCGCCGGTTCTGGTTAGAACTGGCGGTTCTAACCGGAATTTCTCTTCTTCTTTTTATTTTTATTTTTATTTTATTTTTTTTTTATGTTATTTGTTAATTGTTACTCGCTAGCAAAGCCTGGCGCAAAGGCCAAGGCTTGGCCTTTGCGCCAGGCCAACTGGCGGAAGTGGCCAGTAGGCCACTCGCTAGTGGCCTACTGGGCCACTTTCGCAGTTTCGCATGCTTTTTTTTTTTTTTTTTGGGATTTCACGGTTTGGAACCGGAACCGGCGGTTCCGGTTCCAATATTATAGGAACCTTAACCGGAACCTTATAGGTTCTGGTTAAGAACCGGAACCGGAACCGTGCGGACGGTTCCGGTTCGGTTCCGGTTAGCACAGTGACGGTTTCGGTTACGGTTCCGGTTTGAACCGGACGTGGTCACCTCTACCCACAAGACGTCATATTCAGTTGATCTGAGTTTGTCTAAATTTGTTTAGTGTTTTTACTCTCAATTCCCGTGTGTATGTGCAAATTTATACAATTATACCTATAATCAAATGAGAAGATGAAGCGTCTGTTTGGTTCATAGGCTTAGCTATAGGAATTAAAATTATTGTTATTGTTTGGTTGACATGTTTCTAGAGCATTATAATGGGATTTGATTACCTCCTTAATTAGAAAATTCATTTTCTAATAAAACAAGAGTTTCATTCCATTATTCCCCTTCCTAATTGGTAATTTGATTTTTAAGTTTTGGTTAGTGCTTTTAAATTTTTATTTTTATTTTTATTTTTGTTCATATTTCTGCTTTGGATGTCTTTATATTATAATAAATTGTCTTGATTTTTTGTTATTGTATTTTAAAAACATTTATTCTCATTATAGGATCATAAATAACCAACTAATAATATTAGTAATATAATCATTTCAATTCCACCCTACTACCAAACATGCAAAATACTTTCACCAAAACTTATTATTATTAGTTCATTACCAAGTAGGGAAAATGACACTTTTTCCCCAAAGTTATATATTTATAGCACTTTTTCCCCCTCAATTATTTATGTAAGCACATTAGCCCCCTCAATTATTTTAAAAGTGGTGATTTCCCCCCCTAATATATTAAATTGACATTTCTACCCTTAAAGTAAACATTTTATTTATTTTACTTCTCCAACAAATTATTGTGTATATGTAGCGATTACCACGGTTCAGTACGAACTGAACCAGACACTATAGCAATCGAATTAAAAGTTTTCGGTTATGATTCAGATCTAGAACCCAATATTTGAATTTCAATTTATTAAATTTAAGAATAAAAAAACTGGATCATGAACCGTGAACCGGCGGTTCCGGATCCGATTCGCGATTTTGAACCGTCTTTATTTTAAAATTTTATTTTTTATTTTAAAATAGTCTAAATTCAACAATAAATATATTTTATTTTTTCAGTTCGGAACATGAACCGACCATTCCGGTTCGCTATTTTAATAAACTCTAAATATCGCGTTTTGATTATAAATTGTAATTGAGATATTTTGGTTTGGTTGCTATAGTATCTGTTTGGTTTGAACAAAATTATAGTAATAATTTGTTGGAGAAGAAAAATAAATGAAATATTTTTTTTAAATATTTATTTTAAGGGTAAATATGTCCATTTAACATTTCAGGGGGAAAAAGAGCCACTTAAATAATTCAAGGGAAAAAAGTGCTATAAGTATATAACTCAGGGGGAAAAAGTGTCATTTTCCCTTACCAAGTATTTGATTCTCATTCCGATTCCGATTTCATATACGAACCAAACACACCCTAAGTTTGTATGTCACTCTAGTTATTATATATAAAAGACCACAATAAAATTTAAAAATGACTATAACCCATGTTGAGCATATTATTATTATATAAATAATAAATATATACTCAAATGTGATCAGTTTAACTTTTTAATTGACACGAAACACATCAGTAAATGAAACCAATTTGTAAATAGACTTAATGAGTATTATATATGTATAAAATGTAAGTAAGCTTGTCAAATTGTAAGGAATTGGGTAGAAGTAGATAGGAATAAGGTTCAAATTGGCCACTGAACGTAACCTGAAAATGTAATTAGGCCACTGAACGAAAAAAAAGTGCAATTAGGCCACTGAACACTCCAAAAAGTGCAATTAAGCCACTGAACTCTCCAAACGTATGCAATTTCACCGGATAGCAGGTTACCATCAATTTTAGCAGGTTACCTGCTTACGTGGCAGCTGAGTTGGCATTTTAAATAATTTTTAAATAATTTCTAATAATTAATTTTAATAATAAATTTTATAAAAAATTTAAAAATAAATAAATAAAAAATAAAATAAAGTCGTTTTTATTTTTTTTAAAAAAAAATTTAAATAAAAATTTATTATTAAAATTTATTAAAAAATATTTAAAATTTATTAAAAATGACAACTCAGCTGCCACGTAAGCAGATAACCTGCTAAAATTGATGGTAACCTGTTGTCAGGTGAAATTGCACATTTTTGGAATGTTCAGTGGCCTAATTGCACTTTTTTTTTTCGTTCAATGGCCTAATTGCATTTTCAGGTTACGTTCAGTGGCCAATTTGAACCTTATTCCAAGTAGATATCATTGTTTGATGCAAGTTGATGCATGTAAAATCATTGCATGCACTAAACCAATTGACTTTATACTTGATATATGAAAAGTAATTGATACCATCAGGACATTCATCCTTCCAACAACCATTAAAACCAAAATTAAAAATATAATTAAAAGTATATACTCTGTATACAGGAATGTTTAGGTGAGAGCTCACTTTCAGAGTTTCAGGTAAAAAGTGAAGACGGATCACGGATATGTTCTATCCATTTAGATAGATCAACAATAGATAGAAGGTTGTTAAAAAAAAAAGGTAGTGTTAATTTTATAAATATTGTAAATTTTAAAGGAGTGTCGTAATTAAGGTAAAATTGACCTTTTTTTTTTTTTTTTTTTTTCTAAAACATTAAACCATTGATGAATGTGCGCCTGATATGAGTAATTACTTTTTATGAGTTTTCATTTGAAACTTGATGGATGATTGAGATCAATCATCATTTCTTGTAGGAGGATGTTGCTCTCATTTGAACATCATCTCAACTGTTGATTAACCTAAATAAATGAATCAGATTAATCGTCACTTTTTACTTGAGGAGTCTTTTCTCACGTGAACCTCTCATCAACTTGGAATATTATATACAAATTAATTATTTGATTATGTTAGACAGGATGCCTGCTAGGAATATTTTGATACAAAACCAAGAATTACACTTTAATTAAAAGCATATGAATGGCATGTAACACTTGTCATTAAATTTACTGCTCATATACAGTAGTACCTTCAACTTGGTAATTTAGCTTTCTTTTGCTATTAGTTTTTGTCCATCAACTTTTTCATAGACTTTCTAAGTACTCCATGTTTTATTTAAGTTTAGTTTATATATTTTTTTTTAAAAAAAAATGATAAGTTGGCTTTCGGGAAAAAAATTGATAAAGTGCTATTTCGAATTGATGTTTTAACATATTTAATTAAATATTGATAAAAATGGGATAATACAAAATACTATGGAGTGTAGTACAATTGATATGAATTGTAATCGAATCAACATATGATACTGGTCCAATTAATAATAGAGCATTTCGAATATCAATGATTTTTTTATGATTTTTGAGGTGTCAATTAAGAGAGAAATAAGGAAAAAAAAAAAAAGAGGCAGGCCAAAGGGGGGAGTCTGTGCAGACCACTTTCGCCATTCCATCCTCTCCTTTCTCTTTTCTCTCTCTTGTCTGACCCCACAAAAAAACCAAACATGCAAGGAGAACCCAACTCTTCTCTCTCCTCCATGCACATAAGTCATCATCTCCTAAAAA